CTCTCTCTCTCTCTCTCTCTCTCTCTCTCTCTCTCTCTCTCTCTCTCTCTCTCTCTCTCTCTGTCTCATCCTTTCTCCGTACACTTGTCCGACGTCGTCGTCGTCGTTAAGCTCCGAGCGACTCTCATCGTCGGCTTCGCTCGTCGAATCCGTAGCGAAGCAACTCTCGTGGATTACTTAGACAGTTGTCGGAACACAGCGTGCGATATTTGGACGTAGCTTTCCGCAAATATCTCGCGCGTGAACAATGGTCACGGGCGCTCCGACGAAGTAGATTGCACGCCGGAAACTAATGTCTCGGTCGCCAATCTCAAATTCCGTACGTGTTCGATCTGCATCGGTGCACGCCTGCTGACTGCTTAGCACGAAGCGCACGTGCACATGCTTCGGGAAACTTGGACGATTCGCGATGGCTTACTCCGTTCGGATACTTTCGATTATTACACTCTTGTCGTTTGCGCGACGACGGCAAATTGGCAGTTTTCCAATCCAGCGAAAAGTTCTTATGTCATTTTTCTTCATATACATTTATTTAAAGCTTCTGACATGTGTGCACTGAGGATAAAATACTTGAAAATTTATCTGTGGAATATAACATTTATTTCTATGAATAAACTTTATAAATGAATTTTCAAGTAATTTTTCTCAGTGCGGGTTTGAGAAACATTTTCAAAAAGATACAAAAATGATAGTGTTTTTTATAAGATATGAAATTATTTTTGTTTTTCTTGTCTTAATCAATATTAATGTCTTTAAGATATGAGATTAACGTTTCAATAGAAATAAGAAGACTGTAAAGAAATTCCGTACATTCATTAAAAAGAAAATACTGAAGGGAGACACGTACGTGTTTCGAATGACTTTGTAATACATTCTGAACAGTGAGGATTTTTCCTTTTCCTTTTTTTCCACGGTTCTTCCTTGCCTATCGGGAATTTACGTCCCTATTGTTGAACATACACGCGCGCCTATCTCGCAAAACCTTTTTTTCAGACCATTCGGCAGTCACATTTTCGCAGGTAATCTC